TTTTTTTTTTTTTTTTTTTTTTTATAACACACACACACACATGCCCCATCTATTCTGGGGGGCGTCAGTCCGGTTGCTTATCACCGACAAGCAAATACAGCAAAGATAGGAATCAAACACAGACAGACAGAAAACAAGGTTGCGGGAGGTATCGGGCTGAGTCAGCACCCAGACCGCATGTGTCACTGGACCGTTCTGCCTAGCTCGGGGCTCGACCCCCGCGGAACAGACGCAGTCGGGAGGCATTTCACACCTTTTCACGACTTCTTGGATAAGTTTGTCATCGTGTACCTCGATGACATACTTATTTTTAGTAAGACTGACGAGGAGCACGTTGCACATTTGGACAAAGTCCTTAGTCTTCTTCGACAGCACAAGTTCAAGATCAACGGTGAGAAGTGCGAGTTTCGTCACACCCGTGTATTGTACTTGGGTCATGAGATTTCCGCGGAGGGATTGAAGCCCGATGACACGAATGTGGCCAGCATTCGTGACTGGCCGTGTCCTCAGTCTGTGACTGAGATGAGGTCCTTCCTAGGGATGACATGCTACTACGGCAATTTCGTTCAGAATTATAGCATAGTGGCCACCCCTTTGACGGACTTGACTCGCCTTGACACCCCATGGGAGTGGACAGACAGGTGTGAGGCTGCTTTCAAACATTTGAAGCATGCGTTGACACACCATGAGGTCTTGAAACTTCCTGATCCTGACAAGCCTTTCGTAGTAACTACGGATGCTAGCCAATATGGTATAGGCGCTGTACTTGCGCAGCAGGCGGGGAAAAAGTTGAGGCCTGTAGAGTACATGTCCAAAAAGATGCTCTCTCAGAAGTTGGCTAAGTCCACCTATGAGAAAGAACTCTATGTCATCTACAAGGCGCTCACCCATTGGAGGCACTACCTCCTTGGGAGGTTCTTCTACGTCGGGACTGATCACCAGACCCTGAAGTGGATGAGAACCCAGCCTGTGCTCTCCGACGCTCTGAAGCGTTGGATTGAAGTCATAGGCCAGTATGACTTTGAGCCCCAGTACATCAAAGGCAAGTACAATAAGGTTGTTGATGCGTTGTCGCGTTGGGCTTGCGGACGATGTTACTCAATCTATGGTGGAAGCCTATCGCGAGGACCGGTTTATGTCTGAGATCATATGCAGACTCGAGGCGAAGGACAAAGCGACTTGTGGCGAGTTTGAGTTGGTCAACAGACTGTTGTTCCTTGAGAAGGCACAAAATAAATGTTTGTGTGTGCCAGATAGGGTATCTTTGCGTAGCTTATTTTTAGGCGAGTGTCATGATGCCACAAGACATTTTGGTTTAAAAAAGACTGCAGCCAATCTGTTGCAGCGGTTCTGGTAGCCCACAATGATGAGAGATGCTAAGCTGTACGTGGAGACTTGTTAGGTCTGTCAGAGAGACAAGCCCCGTACGCTGGCCCCTCTTGGGCTCCTCAAGCCCCTTCCGATTCCGGAAAGGCCCGGTGTCGAGCGCACGGTCCCCGCTGGTGGGGGACCTTCCCGACCGCGTTACGCAGGATTGGCAGATTTCGCAAGTCGCTTCACAAAAAGGGAAGCGACGAAGCCGCTCCGACCGAGTGCGCCAGCTATACCTCCATCGAATCCCTACGACAGGACAGGGTCTCGCGGGGTACAACTCACCTCCACCCGCGGGAGCTGTCACCATCCCTTGGGTGGGCGTATCCCCCACGAGCTGTTGAACCACACACGAAAGTTTTTACTTGCAATCGCGGAGGTGGCTCGGCCGAGGGCGTTTCTCGTAGCATAGGGGGTACGCGCGGTCCACGCCTAGCTTAGACCCGTACGCGAACCGTCATGCTGAGGCGCTGATCTCCCACGTGCGGTTTAGCGACGGTCGACTAGGACATCCTAACTCAACCACGCGATACGTGACAAAGCAAACTAACTCAAACAAACAAGCCTAGTCCCTTTTTCATACGTCCTGACCCATAGCTCAAAAAGTCTTTCTGTTTGAGCGAGACCCACACGAAGTTGCATAAAAAGAATGCAACCGTCAAAGGAATCATAATGCTCAGTCATGTGTACTCAGTTGATCTGCTATCATGACGACCCTTCATGCGTTACCCACATTCGCGCATCCTCTCATGGGTTTC